CTGTGCAAGAGCAGCTTTCAGAGGTGGAGGGTGCACTGCCAAGAGCAGGGGCTCAGGGAGTCCTCCAGACAAAGCCTGGAGGCCAGCGCCTGGGGAGAAAGAAAGAGGAGGATAGCCATGGAGAGCAGAAGTAAACATGTTCCTTGCTTTAAAAACGCTGAATTCAAACTAGTTCTGTCACCCACAGAAAATAAACTCCTCCAAAAGCTCCAGTTCAAACCTGGACAAAGCAGAATGCAGAAAACACTGGGGGCTTTGTGGTGTCTTTGCCTGTCTGAAAAGCCACAAATTGCCATTGCCTTGTTGCAGTTTTATAGGAGTTTCTTCTACAGCGGCCAAATGCAGTGCTGCTGCTCCTCTGGCAAAGCTGCCCCGGGAGGCACCACTCCCTGTGGTCCTCCAGCCTGCCAAAGGCCCTGGGCACCCACTGAGCATCTCCTACCACGCTCCTCTAACACCATCCTTTCAGTGTCCTTGGCATCCTCACAAACCCAGGACAGACAGCAGTCACGCCGGCAGCAAACTGCAACGGCAGAAGGTGCCCTAGGAAAGGATTTGACTTCTGGGAGGGGAAAAAAACCCAGTCTAAAACCAGTGTGGTATTTTTATGTCAAAACATTAGGAAAAGACCGTGCAATTCAGGGTGTTCTCACGTAGGTATTTTCTTGAGAGCTCCTTTCCTTACACAGTCAGTGCCAGCTCTTCCCTGCTAGAAACAAAGGCAAATCAGACCTTTGCCAGCAAACAGCTCGAGAAGGGGGTGCTGCTGCCTGATGAGGTGTCATCCTGGTGGGCAGATAGTGCCAGGCTGTTACTGCTACAGTGACCGCCTTTGCACAGCTCATCCCACGTCCCCACAGCCCTGGAGCAAGGGAAGAAGTTAAAGAAATGAAAGTCCTTTCAACCATTCTCTCCTCCTGAGGAGTGCTTGGCCAGAAAAGCTTTTACAACCATATTACAGGACAGGGAAGCACAAGGATTCAGGTACATTGATCACTAGGACTCTCAGGAAGCAAGGCAAAAGCACATCCACAACATCCTGCCCCGTTGCTCGCCCACAGGAACATCTGTGTGCTCTGCACCGTGCACCCACCTGGTTCACACAGGGATGGAAAGCTGCTGGAGTGCCACAGGTCCCATTGCCATCCAGCCTTTACCATCTCTCTGCCCATAGCCCCAAGAGATCCTGCAGAAAAAGGTGGCAGAAAGGCAGCAAGACAGACAAATAGACTTCTTAAAGCACCAGAAATCTGATTGTTCCACCTGGGTCAAAAGGACCAAGGGAAGCAGAATAGACACTAACACCTGAGCAAAAGGAAGGTCCTCCAAGTGCCCCAGGAACATCAGGAGCTAAATCAGGGCCAGTCACTCAGTGCTGGAAGGTTAATTGAAGGGAGTTTTTAGCAGGGACACACCATTACCAGATCTATAGGTTTGATTCTAACGGGGTTTCTGTGGCTCACTGCCTAATGCAATTTATATAAGAAGTACTGCAAGTGTCCTGCTTTTACTGTTTCTTTTTAAAAGCAAAGGCAGCATGTGAACTAACAAAAGATGGGATTCTGCTGCCAGTCAAACATGGTTTCCAAGTCAAGCATCACCTCGTTACTTAGCGCCTGTCTGAAAAGCCACAAGAGCTTTGATACGCTCAAGGTCTCCAAAGGAAAGCATCAGAGCACTGCACACACGAAAATGGAGGAGGGGTTCAAAGGAAAGTGGCTTTTGTGCCCACGATGTGGACGCTCGGAGGAAATAACATGAACAGAGATGCTGCAAGGTTGTTACAGAGCAGCTTGCAAGACGATTCCAGACTTTGGGAAGGTGCCATTCACATGCTGTTCTGCAAAGCTGGGAGCAGCACACAGTGGTAAATCTAAGTGCCTCAGCCCAAACTAGAAGCCATGGCAAGGCGATGGCTCTTCTGCCAAGCAAAGTATGTTCAGCTTCCATCTTCTGATCATGAACCATCAGCAGAAAACAGTCCCAGCATTAGACAAATGCTATAAATGGAATAAAGGACGAGTATTTAAATACAGATTGGGCTAGCAATAATATACAAAGGAGAAAACACAACTGAAGGCCAAGAATTCCTCCCCCAGCATTAGCTCATGTAAACAAGAACTTGAGAAATCCGCAGTAACCAAAGGAATGCCTAAGATGGGAACATCCTTGAGCACACTTGTATCCCAAGTGCCAGGAAGAGGCGCATGTGACACGCCTGTATAGTCCAAGGCACACCTCTGCTAGTTCTCTTCTTAGCAAAAGAATTCCCATCTGCACCATTAAGCTTTCTGGACGACAAAGACAATAAATGAGGCTCTTAAAGTAAATTGTGTTTATTCAATTTCTGTCGTGTGTTGCTAACAAATCTTCATCCTAACCTAGGAAAAAATAGCAGGTAGAAAAGATCTCCCCTTTGCTCCCGCCCTCGCCACCACACACACACACACACTTCTTGTTTCTTAAATAAAAGAATCCCTATTTCAAGCATGAGGGACTTTTCTTTCAATACATTTCAGTAATAAAATTAACTCTGTTGTAGATACAAAACGCAGCAGCCAAGACCAGAGGAGCTGCTGTGCTACTCCCAGGCAATTAGTACCCAGAATGATCAATCAGTTTGTCTGCAAACATACTAAGAAAATACTTCGCGCTTATGCGGCACTTTTTATCCATGAATCTCAAAGTGTTTTACAAAAGCTGAAAAATATGGGTTTGGCCTCATCTACAGGGAAGAAAACACCCGCTGGAGCAGGAAGAGATTTGCCCCAGTCACAGAACAATTTACTGGCTGAGCTGAGAACAGATCTCCACGTGTCAGCCCCAAGCCCCACAATCCGTGCCATGCACTCTGCTTCACACAGGACAGCCTGAATTTGGCAAAAGCTCTGGTTTCAGAAATGAAGTGGTTTATGTTTTTGCCACCAAACAGAAGTCTAAAGGGAGATGTGGCAGCTCTTTTAGGAAGCACTGTTTTCCCAAGGCTGTGATGCCAAGGAGAAAACCCAGTTTTGGATGGAACTGGTGAGAGCTTTGGAAAAGAAAAAGTTTCATACTGGAAATGTGAAGAGGGGTGCAGAAGGAGGTAAATCCATGATCTACAATGTGCAAATGATTCTCCACTTGGAGCTTTAACTGAATGTTTGAGGAACAAATCACAGGATAAAAACCTAAACCCTTGGCAAATAGTGTTATTAGGTGGAGAGGAACCTGGAGCTGCAGCACGCATGGCCTGACACCTCCTCTATTAGCAGTCTTCTGACCTGAAGTTGCTCCTGACAGACCTGAGAAACCAACAGTGCAAACACCAGGAAGAGAGCGGTGAAATACAATGTCTTACCCTAGAAATATGTTTAGCAAGGCCAGGAGAGGAGAGAAGTACCATGAGATAGAGTAAAGGCTGATTCAGGGACCTCAGAGCACTCTCCATTACAAGGTCCACTCTTGACACTAAGCAGGCAGGTTCTTTTTCTATGTAGCACCATGCAAAATGAATGCATGACTTCAACGTTGTTCTTCACAGGCCTGTGGCCACAACACATCACCCACAGCTCAGTTTGGTCCAAACAGGACATCCCCAGGGGTCCTTTAAAGTAGAGGGTCTCCCGTGTATAAGCACCAATTTTCTAATACCCCCTCTATGCCTCCTATAGAAATGGGACAACAGCAGGCTCGTGATGCTGGGATGGGAGCAGTGTCTGGCAGCACACAGTCATAAACCAGCCTGTGTGCAGGAAAGCCCAAATGTTGGCCTAGAACTAAAAACATGTTTAAGAGAGAAGGTCAGGCCAGCATCCTCACCAGCCCACGGTGGTAGGTAATATTATACCCAGGAGCTTATTTTATCAGCAGCATAAACACCACAGTGGTTCAATCAGCACTGATGCAACAGCCAACTGTGCTTTGAAGCCTGGGAACAGCAAATCAGGTTCTCACAGAGAACAAGCATATCAGACAGGGATAGGTAAGCAACCTAAATCAACAAGCTCATCTCCTAAGTCAACAAGCTCAGCTCCTAACTGCAAACCTGCAGCAGTACACATTAATTCAGGTTTCCTCTCTCCTTTTTGGGCAAACCCAAATGCTACTAATTCTCCACACTGATATTCCAACACGCAGGAGGGTGCCAGCAGCTGGGTCTCCCTTGTTCTCAGCCGGAAATGGCTGCGA